TCGCGCCGCCTCAAATGGGCGGCGCGACCCCGCCCATCGCGCCAAACGACCGGCTCCCGTGGCGGCTCATCGATCGTGCTGGATGGGCAGTGAGTTGTCCAATCACTGGGCGAGTTGTGCAGCTCGCAAACCGCGTCGAATGGACGGCGCGATAGGAGGGATCGCGTCAAACGATTGAATTGCATAGTACTCAGGATGACAATCTGATGCGCTCGCGCGTTACTTGTGCCGCACCTATGTTGTCCCTATTTGAGCTAAAGCTACAAAATAAAAGAAACTCACATCATTTAATTCTTTCAAGTGAATTGGATCAGCTCCAGTAGCCTCGAGACGGAGTCGTTGTACTTCTCCCAAATAGTACATGACAAAAGATCTTAACCATTGCTAATATTCAGATATAGCACATAAAAAATGGTAACTTTAAAAACCCACTTGTAACCTTTCGACAAAGACTCAAAAATCATGTCCATGCGTTTTTTGGGCCCTCCTGTCGGAGCCATGTTGAATGTAGGGAACACACTCTGGAATAATTCTGCTCAACGACTGAAGATATCAGAATTCTCTTCAATTAATTATAGAAAATATAAATAGAAAAGGAAAGGATTTTAACGGGCGATAATTATGGAAGGATGAAAAAAAACGATACTTTCTATTTCAAAACATAATCTATCTTAGCAGAATCTTCATTGATGAATTTCACGGTCAGGTATATTCAAGAAATGAGGAATGGAATGCAGCAGAAACAAAGACTGACGTAATTGCGAAACGGAAATATGTAAAGAAGCATTACATCGAAAAAGTCACATCCATCAGAGGCTGGCAAAAAGCCAAGGCTAAGTGATGGTCGTGCCAGGACACCATGATTTCGCTGTACACGCTGACCTACTTTCAGAGTGGCGATTGCATTGGCACCTCCTTAGCCTCAACAACTGTTTCGTGTTTTGTGAAGCACTAGGTTGGAAGGTAAGTCCCGCAGCACTGAACACGTTCCTCTAGGAAAAAACCAAACCCTTTTCAAATGTTTTCGCGCCTGATTGCTGTAGTGTTCCTGAACGATTTCAAAAATGGACATAAAAGGGCTCGTGAAAGGTTCCTCATGAACTACGCCTGTCTGACAAGACGAAAAGGATGCACGTGGCCGAGCCTCTTTTGCTTCGTCCCCATCGAAAGGACTTAAGAGACATAGTGACCGGAGATGAGAGCTGGGTGCCCTAGGTGAACAATACGCGTGAGCGCCGCTGAGTTGCGCGAGGAGAAAAGCCACCTGAGGAGCCTAAAGCAGACGTCCATGAGAAGAAGGTTTTGTTGTGTTGCTGGTGGGACTGCAGGGGAATGATCTAGTGGGAGCTGGTAGACAGTGGCATACAGTGACGGCCACAGTCTACGTTAACTAGTTGCAAAAAGTGGTCGACGTATTACGAGAGTTACGCCTGAAGAGGCTCAATGTCTTCCTACTCCACGATAACGCACGCCCACATGTGGCCAACGAAACACGTCAAAAAAATTAAGGAACTCGGATGGGAAGTACTGCGGCTTCCGGCTTACTCATCGGACCTAGCGCCTTCAGGTTATCACCTATTCAGAGCACTGAAGCACCATTTAAGGGACAAAAATTTTGATGATCGTCGCCACTCGAAAGTGAAATCGCCCACCTTTTTTCGCACCGGAATTCTGGAAGGGAGGGATAGAGAAGCTGCCCCAAAGATGGGCACGTGTCCTAGATCATAATGGTTACCATGTTGTAGATTGAAAGTTTCGTTTAATAAATAATAATAAAAATTCGAAAACTCGTCCAAAATGTTGCAAGACCTATCTTCCAACCTAATAGTAAGCTTTTCTATTGAACGAAACAAAAATGTAAATTTCTAAAACAAGGGGAAAATCGTCGTTAAAGATCAGGCAGAAAAAATTCCGGATTTTCTATTCGAGCAGCAAAGTTTTTTGAATACATAAATAGATTCGAGTTGGCAATTGATCATTCGACAAATTTTGAATAGTGATGGAAACCTACCAAACCAACCAAGCTACCAATAAAACCAACTCAAAAACTATTCAAAGACTATAATGCTCAATGAGATTCATCACCGAGTGCCTTCGGGGTGTCGTTGAAACTGGAAGAGACTATTCGATATTCGCCGCGGAAATGGTGTAAAATGCCTCTATGCATCCGCATAAAAACCGCATTTGCATGATGGGAAAGGTTAGAAGGAACGGAGTAGAATGATCAGAGTCAAGGAAAAAGTCTTCCACGCCTATCCTCCACATAGCACTGGTTTAAACTACACCAACAAGATGTATGACCGGCTGACTTCATAGAAACATGCATTACTGCAGATATGTACTGAGCTGAGATGGAACGTATGAAAGCTACATCGGCAAGGAAACTGGAATGGGAAAGGTGTTCCCTCGCGAAGCTCGCTTGTATGTGCCAAAAGAGAGATGGCTTCATACCATAACGAATTGGGAGGATTTCATGGGGAGGGTCGACCACAATTAGCAATCAGTCATGGTATTCTCGAAAGGGGTCCTGAAAGGACCATGATAAAAGAGGTTAGTATTAGATTGCTATTTTATGGATTCCGAATATTGCGCCCCTCCACTTCTTACTCTTACAAGCAAACGCCATCGTCTTCATAGATGTTGAACAGTATGGGACAAAAACTATGGGNGGGGGGAGGGGGAGGGGGAGGGGGGAAGCAAATGGTAGTATTTTGATGGCAAAAGTTCCCATTTATGGCCATCACATTAGCGAATTCTTCTTGATTATTAAGCAATCATCAATGCGAGAAAGGCGAATGGGAGAGGCTACCAGTTAAAAAGAAGTGAGAAATAGTTCAGTTCGTCGGTAGTTATGTACGTGTAGTGCCAATATGTTGACGGTTTCGAATGCGACCAGCGTAAAATAAGAAGTACTGCCAATGCAGACATACTCCGCAGAGTGAACTGCCCAGCTTGAAGGTATAAACTACAAACAAAAAGTCCGTCAGCGGGCTTTTACACCAATTCAATAGCCAGTTCCTCCTCTCACAACTTTCTCAATCGTTCATACTGCTTCGATTGCTCAAGTTCACAACTTACAGAACACTCATAGGAAATCTTAAAAACTACAGCTACAGAGAGTGGTTGGCAAATAGTGTCGGACAGATGCTAACACATCTATAACTGCCAAAACTACTCACAGATACCAGGAAAAAGAAGTCTGAAGAGAAGAGCATCTAGAGAGGTACATCGTTCGTATGGGCGCCTACCAGTAAACAAGAAGAGGTGGGGGAGAAGGGCGCGTACGCTGTGAGAACATGGGAAAAAGAGTGAATTCCAGGCCTCCTTTCACGCTAGAATACACTCATCAATATGCTGGTAGAAGGAATTCCAGAGATTTGAAATCACCACAATATTTGACGGAATAACAACCAAGGCAAGGAATTATAAATAAAGTTATTCTGACCAGAAGCAACACAAAATAAAAGGAAATGAGAGTAATCAAAATAAGTCAATCGTTTATCTTTTGCGTTATGTTTATCCTTACGGAAACCCATGAACACACAATTGAAGGCCCCTGCCTTTCAAAAAAAAAAGCAAAAAATTTGCATTGAAAATTCCGATCACGCTAGAATACGGCAATCAGAAGAAGACGGCATGACTGGGCACCAATATAGGACCTGTATAAGGCTTTTGATAAGGAATATGGTCAAAGAAGAACTGTTATGTGACCATAAAAGGAAGATAGCTAGATAGTCTGCTTTGAGGAGACAGGCAGTAGGAACGGTTTTGTGTAATCAATTCACAAATGCGGCAGTTACGGACCAGTCGCCTCGTTATTGCAGTTCTAGCGTTCTTCATACAGCTCGATCGATATGCGATGATTATTTTTGGCATAATTCACTAGTAGTTCTTTTGTTCCTGATTTCCTTACTCGCCGCGCTGCTTCTCCTTTGTTCTGCTACATTCCTTCGTGCGCGACGTTCCTTCGCCGCGAAGCGGCCATTTCGACTCAATTGCACCTTACCCCTTGCTTCGCGCTCGGGTTAGTTTTGACCTTTTATCGCGGTTCAAAAATGACCCCTTAGCTTCATTAACCTGAATTAAATGGTCGGTTAATTGGTACCAGATTCGTCGGGGTGGTTACTAGGAACTATTTAGTATGAGCTTAGTCCGTGAAGTGCTACCTCAAGTCGCTCGTTTCTTACTTCGTTCAAAATGGAGCCACAGAGTCAGTTATTGCTCAGATTTCCTGTATTGACATAGAGGAGTGACTGATCAACCCAACTTGATGAAAATTATCTATATTTTACTAATTTCACTCAAACCTCAACAATTGGTCGTCAATCCCTTACTTCTTTTGCGGTTGTTGTCGCATTACATTATTGTCAGCCTGTCCGCATTCACAGTATGTAGAGTGAATATTTCGTCATCTAATTTGAGGATTTCAATGAATGGGGATTTGGAGAATTATTTAATTCACCACAACTTAGCAGAGATGAATAAAAAAGTGTGGGAAAAATTAGCTCACCGGTAATAAAGAAATAAGCAGGTCCTCACGAGAGTGGGAGGAGACAAGTTTGAAACGGAAGGCGGGCGCCCCCGTCCGCGGGTTCAGGGGAGACAGACGCGTAAACTACTCTGGATTTAAAGGCACAGTTCACGATATGTTTTGGATCAACCATTTTTGACGGATAATGAAAGATACAGACTAGAATAATACAAAATTAACGAACAAAGCGCAAAAAACGGCGTATAAAAAGTAAGACAAGAGCACAAAAACCAAAAACCAGCACAAAAATTTAGTAGAATGAGGGCCGGACGAGTTTCGGGCAAAAAAATGGTGGCTCTGCTCTGCGTCTCTAACGCCGAGAACTCAGACACCATTTTTATCTGAACTGTGTCATTAAATTGTAGGTACTGGTTCATCAGGGTGTAAGTAATCTCTAAACCTCCCTTCTGAGCCCTCTACTCCAACAAGCGAAAAAGTAATTTCATTTTTGAGTCGATGGGTTAATTAGAATCCAAGGACGACCAACTTCTTGACGGATGTCTACCTGCGAGTTTGGTCATTACTATATAGCCAGATTTCGCTGCTAGACATTCAGCGGAAGCTAATCTGATTAGCGTTGAATCTAGGAAACGACACTCGCAAAAGCACATATTGAAAAGATCGTGAATTCGTTTTTTCAAGTTTTTTACGCTGAATAAGTACCTTTTATAGGGATTACTCAGGACACCAAGAAAGATTCTTTGATATTTTTCATGAAATTACTTCTGGGAACGAAGGCGTTGGAACGTTCGGGAATGGCATTAGTAAAGTGGAAAATTTTCGTGGCAAGAATGAACCAAACTACTTCCTATGAAGTTGATCCCAATTGTCGGTCGCCTCATATCCCTCATAAAGTGAATGGTAAAGGAAAAATTCCTTCAGGCGTTGATCGATCCCATCTGAGGATTGCGCCCGACCTTCATTCAGAGTTGTAGGGGAGCTTTTAATGCGTGTAAAGCTTAAAACAAT